GTTAAGTTAATTGTTAATCAAACAAGTCCCCGGGACTAATTGAAAGAAGTTTGGCTGTATTAAGTAATTCAAGAGTAATTTTTTACTACGCTATACACTCTTTCTGGTAGAGGGTATCATAAGCTGGTGCGGATGCGTGTAACACTCAGAAGATGGATCCACTTTTTGTTATACTGATCGATCTAGAAAAATCTTCTGGATTAAATAAAGACTTGTCTTAAGCCATAGATTGACTGTTCGTTTGCCAATCGGTCCGTCTGCCTGATATTGGCCCATGTATTTTTTGGCTCAATCCACAGGTCCAAATTTTTGAGATATTTTTTCAAAAATCGATATCCGCTGGTGTGTTTTGCTATAAGATTGTCTTTTAAATTCGAATCGCCTCTGTGCGATACACAAGCACGTTTAATACCGGCACCTGGGGATTTGCTGTAGCGATATAAATAAATTTACTATCAGTAGAACGGCGGCCTTCATTTGTTATATTTTTCGTTACGATTCTAATAAAATATTGTTTTCCTTATTGCAAAAATATATGTAATCTTTAAAAGTAATCATAAATTTCAATGTTTTAGAAAACTATTAGAAACTAGAACAAGAGCGAACAAACAACGATGCATAAGTATACATATGAGGTTTTGCATACCATATAATATAAAGTAACTAATATAAATTTAATTAGTAAGTCATAAAAGATTTGTTTCAGTTAAGGGCGTGCCAACTTTAAATGTTTTTCTAATACTCACCGTAAAAAATATCTATGGCTGGTTCAATCAATCATTTGTAATATAATTCGCTGGAAAGCGGGATGGAACGAAAGTTCGACGCTGGGATAGGACTAAATTTTCAATCACTTACTATGTATATATCTTATTTTGAAAATTCATTATGTCAATGACTCTCTATTAACGGCAATGGTGTTGAGTATTCAATAGTTGGCTACGGTCGACTATAACGTTTTTACATGTTTCTATTAAATAAACATTTCTAGCTTTGTTTTATTCATCTTAATACGAATCCACGAAATTTTATATGAATTCCACGAAAAATTTAAATATCTACTTCGACCATCACTGCTCACGTGAAATATCGGTAAAGAAGACTATGCTTCCGCAACATAGCCAACGGCCTTTATTGAGCTAATTTAAAGTCTAAAATTCTTGTTCAGTGTATGACTATGAAGTATAATTGACATACCTTCGAAGCATCGATGGCATAGATAATTTAATTTAGTTGTGCTTGCTTTACGAAATTCTTTCTTTCACTTGTAGCGGAAGGTTTTGAGGGATTTTAAGAAATTGAAAAAAAATTTGTTGTTTTTTAAATGACAATAAGTAAAGGCATTACAGTGAGCCGCTAAATACCCTACAACATCCTACAGTTAATCATATAACATTCGAGGTAACGAGGTCCGATGCGAATCATTTTCCATACCGTTCGCCCTTGGACCAAAACATGCCGCAGAAAGATAAGCGGACGAGCGGACAAGTTTACACTGATTAACAAAGTGATTATTAATCGACAAAAGTTGGGTTTATCACAAGTCCTTTTGTATGTTGAATAGGTCCGCACAACTGGTGTAGGGTAGAACTAGTAGGAATAGTTTCAGTCTCTTTGGGTCGGTTTTTGGGATACCTTTCCTTGACAAGTAGTTATATAAAAATCGAGATTTTTACTTAATAGCGTAGGTATCAATGGACCAATACAGACGATTTGGTAAGAATAACTACTTGCTTGCTTCTCATAAGGAATTCTTTCGTATTTAAGATCGGCACAGCGACTTATTCTGATGAAAATATATTGCTTAACTTTGTAAAATTTTTTGTTCGTTTCAATACATTGATGAGTTGAAGAAGAAATATATGTGTTTTCGTTTCAATTTTGGGGACTTAACAACAGGCAGCAAGTAGATGAATGGTAAGGCAAACAGACTTGACTAAATTGATTCAGAATGTGATTAAAACTAAGGAAAACTATACGATTATAGAATAACTGATGCACATTTCACACGTTGTTAAGAGCAGAATGATGACAATGACACACTCTGCCTTCTTATCGCTTTTCGATGCTAAATGTGAACTTCATTCAATTCTTGTAACCTTTTAGTTGCTTTTTAGACATGAGAAGACTTTGGGAATAACATTTATTGTTAACACATTCTTAGTAAAACGTTGAATATCAGGTAGAAAGAAATGCATACATACATACATACATACATATATATATTTTTGGTTGTGTTTTTGATAGCATTTACACGAGTAATAAAAAAGATAACAACAACTAGAAAATCTACGTCAGGCATATCAAATAATTGTTAGAAAAAAGGTAAAAACAAAATTGAAAACACTATTAAATCTTATCTTAGTTATACTTAAGTTGTGTTGAAAGATGGCAATTGGACTAGTGTGGTAAGACGTCAGGTAATCGTTAAATGATTTCAAAGAAAATGTATACATACCTCGCAAATAGCGCACAATTTTATTCAAGTTCCTTAAGCGTACCTGTCTGCTTCAGAAGAGAGTCATTATTAAATAAAACTTTTAAAAAATTAAATTTTGTTCGGCGTTCAGAGTTCGGAGTCCTTTACTCATTCCATTAGAAATCCGCAGATTATTATTATTCGAATAAGACGCAGGCGGTTGTTTTGAACGATCTTTCATTGTTCGAGTTGCTCGACGTGGGCTTTGTTTACCACCTGATCTCCGTATATTCTTTCATTGCAATTATGCACTTCGCTTGAAACTCCTTTTTGCACTTTTCTACTCGGATATGGGATGCTTTGTCTTCTCTTTATCTATTATATAATCTGCAGGTTAATAGCATATTTAAATGGACACATGGTTTTCTTATTGTAAAAGATGACAGCCGTTACTTAAATGCTTGCTGTTATTGAAATAAAGCCAAGGTTACTATTACTCTATTGCTGTAGCTACTTCTTTGAAACGTTCTTCTTCTACCTTTTTCTCTTATTTTAATCTCTTTACGTGGCTGAGGAGCCAATTTATTATAAATTTTTTGTTTATAAACTTTTTGTTATTTTATATTCTACATAATATGATTTAATTATGTCTACATATATAGTAATTACACGTGCTATAGGGTAAAAACAAATATACGAGTTCCGATTAGTAATGACATAGATTAGTGAAGTTTAAACTATTTAAATGTTCTCTGGGAATATTGTTAAAGGTAATTAATTGCAGCGTCTTCTGAAATACATTCTCGAGTAAGTTGTGAAAAGGTGCAGAGAGATCGAAGAGGATACTCTAAAATGCAGGATTGAGTGTTTTCTCCAAAGATCATTAATCTATTTAGTTCTTTAAAACGATCTAATATGTTTCGTTAAGGGTGTCTTTAGATGGTATACCAGCTATGCTGGTTAGCTTAGTTTATGGGAATAGAAATGAATTGAAAAAGTTGTGAGAAGGCGGAGAGAGATTGACGAAGGTAATCTACAATATAGGACAGAGCTTTTTCTCGAAATATCATTTGTCCCTTTAGGTCTTTAAAACGGTCTAAAAAGTCTCGTTAAAGGTTTTTTAGATAGTATATCAGCAGTGCTGGCTAGTTCAGTTTACTGGCATAGAAATGTATCTAAGACCCCAGCAATGATTGATTGAATGAGTGATTGATTTTTAGTGTTAAACCCCATAGTGAGTTACGCGATACCATTAAGTATCCTACACCAGCCTAAAGTAATTCATAAAAAGACTTTTCAAAGTAGGGCTTTATATGGCAAGCGGTCGAAAAAGTAGTCCGATCCGAAGAAATTTTCAGTAGTATTCGTCCATAGGCAAAACATTTCGGTGTACCGAATTTCATCAAGATATCTCAAAAGTTGTGGCCTGCAATTTTAATACAAGCAAATAAAGTGGGCGATAGACGGACAGATAAGCTCAGAGTCGTTTTCTGAATCAATTAGTATAATAAAAAGTTGGTTTTTTCTTCTTGGCATTGTAAAGATCCGCACAAACTAAATATACCTTTGTACCTTGTAGTCTTGTGGTAAAGGTTATGAAAAATACCAGTATCCTCCTATTAAAATCTTCACCCACAAATCAAATCGGCTTAATGTAGACCAATTATTAGTTGAGTGAAATATAATTTATTTTATTCAACTAACTGTTTCTTTTGAAAGCTTTTCCTTTGCTTACCATGGGTGATATTTTTTGCGATTGATCGCTTGCTGGCTTTAATTCCCTAAAAAAAAAAAAATAAAGAGAATACAAAGTGAAGACATCGGAATGCCTGGAATATTAAACATGTCACGACAATCATATAAAGATCATCGCCCTATCTTGCAGATAACACGAATGTAAATAAATTATAACATTTATTAAGTAATATATTAAATATTTACGTGCGTGTGGTCAACCTTTCGTATTATCAGTTATCAGCGTACGTGAAGGATTTAAAAATGTTTACGCGTAAAAAAAAAAAACTTTATAAAAATTCTCCCAAAAATTTCTTCTTTTTTACATGCATGCATACCCACATGCATGGATCGTTCATTCATTCATTCATGTTTGCCTACCACATTTACGCGTTCTATCCCAAGCGAGAGAGAGCATGCTTTCTCTTTCTGCCTGTCTGCTTCGTAAGCAAGTACTTACAAGCATTGCATCACTTTTCCTCTTTGCATTTTCTTATTGTCTCCTATAATAATAGAGAGTTTGTTTATAACTAAAGAGAGAGTAAGGTAGTGTTTGTTGATATTTTTCTTTTACTAGAGCACGTTCGGGTTCATTTTCAATTTTCATTTCATTTAATTTGAAAAAGTTCGGTCGGTTCTAAAGTGCGTTGATGTGAGAAAAAGCGGTTTCTGTTTTTGTGGCTTTTTTTTGTTTTTTTTTTGAAATTTTTGTTATTTCGAAAAAAAAATATTTATTTTTCAAAGTTAATTATTTTAATATTTTCAAAGTGAAGATTCGAAAAAGAAAAAAGAAAAAAATTTGTAACGATGTTTACAATTTACAAATGGAAAGTGATTTAAAAATTAAATAAAAAATTTGTGGTAAAAAGCGAAGCTTTAAAAATGCGAATAATTGAAAAGTTTTGTAAATTTTACAAAATTACTTTTACTCAATTTTTTCATGGAATTGATAATAAAGTTTTTCATGGATATTGAATGATATTTTGACAAAGGTAAGCTTCGAATCCAAAAGAAAATCTTGCCTTGCGAGAGCAGTGCTTGGAGAAGTGTCGATTCAAAAAGAGTACACACTTGGCCAATTGGAACTTTAAAGAAATTATTTATGTAAAATCTTTAATTAATATTCATGGATCACTTTTCCCATAAACGCTTTCGTAAAAATCAAACTAAGAGAACATGTGCAGAGATTTAGTTGCCTTTCTCAAATATTTTTTTTTTAAAAGTGCGTTCATAAGAAGAAGAAGACCGTAGGACCTACACTCCTGGCTATTATGAATTCAATGTTTACGTTCAAACACTCCTGTCCGTTGGCGATTTTTTTTTTATTTTTTTATCAACTATTTTTTTTAAATGGCCCATCGTGTAAAGGCTGATATAGCGAGGTGGGTCTGCGTGCCCAATCGATAACTTTTACCGACTAAACAATCCCTAAAGCTACGACAAAAGTAAACTTTACCGCACTGAAATTTGAACCCGCGAATACTGACTTGTTAGTCGCGGTTCTTACCTACTCGGCTACTCTTGCGACCTGTGGTACAAAGTCTTATCAAGTTTGGGCGGATGTACATAATATCTAGAAGAGCTCCAGATAGATCGAACTATCACATAAATTGTGATTCTCAATCGATGTAAGTTTGTCGGTCCGTCCGTCAGTTAGCTTGTTCAACCTACAGGCCGCACTTTTCGAGAGATATTTACATGAAATTTTCACATCGATGACGAGTTTTGGCTTAAGGGCGAACGCTATTTAAGGTGGTTCGAATCTGATCTCTTTTTCGAACACTTCTCATACAACATCTTAATTTTAAAATATGAATAACTGTAGAGCTGTATTTAATGATGCGCCCTTAACTACCGTGGTGTTATTATTTGTTATTTCTAAATTTTTAAAATTTTTTTTCATTTTTTATACCCATCACCGAAGGTTACAGGGCATATTCTTTTTGTCAAAACGTTTGCAACGTGCAGAAGGAAGCAACAGAGACTGCACAAAGTATATGCATTTTTGATCAGCGTCAAATTCTAAATCAATTTAAGCATTTCCATCTGTCCGCCTATGCGTCTGGCTATCTGTCCATGTGTACGATGTCTGTTGTAAACATTTTCCTGGCCGCAAAAGCAAAATTATCGACTTCAAATTTGCAGAAACACTGGAAGTACTTGCACGCAAGCTGGTATTGGAAATGGGCTAAATCGGTTGTACGACACGCCCACAACGCCACGTAAACTGAGAACACCTCTGTTTTTCAAAAGTAATAAAAAATTGATAGTTTACCCATTACTCATAAACCATAACAGATGAATGTACAAAAATTTGAATACATACTCCATGATGCAGCATCTGTATAAAAGTGGAAAAAATTGACCACGTCTACCCTATATTATAGTGTATCAAAATACAATCTTTTTTTTCAATACCTTATAAGGCGTAGAAGCGACAAGTACTTTTATTTTGATAATAGAAGATATTAATCCATATTGAACAGCATGTAAATTGACCTCTTTTGCTTGTTTCGTCTTTTTCAGGATAACGGTATAAAAGATTCGATCACGATCGAATATAATTTTCCTACTTGCTCTTATTTTATTTATTTATGCTTAAGGTTTGCTTTTAGTTTAGGGAAACGGCATTTTTGATTAATATGCAGAGACCTGTGCTTGAAATGTAAATGTGAGAATGAAAAAGTGCTCGTTAGGTATTAAAATGAATTCAGAACGTAAGAGTTTTTCAAAAAGGGAAACAAAGTTTGTTTCAAATAAAACAAGGAAGGAGAGGAGGAGGGGGAGGATTTATTTGAGGTGATTGAAGCATCAAAAAAGTTTCAATTGTTAATTTTGGAATGAGTCCAAATCTTAGATATGTACAGGGGTGCCCCGCATAACACGCTTGATTCGTACTGTGCTTTATCGAAAGCAAGTGTTATATGAAACTTTTTTATTTAATTTAAAATACCATATACGATAATGTAATTTAAACTTAGATATAATATACAACAAAAAATGTGTACCGTGTTCTACCGAAGACGTCCTTTCCAAATAGAGTATTAAGCGTGTACATCAAACTTTTACATTTTTCATACATGTATATAGGCGAAAATTGTTATGGAGAGAATGACGGCATATGAGTTGGTTTACGACTTCCAGTTTCGTTGGAGGTTTTGGGCACGAAACATGGGGCAGCGATGGTGGCTTCAATGCGACAACTCACATCGCGTCATTGTTTGTTCGTAATTTTTTGGCCAAAAACAAGGCAGTAATCATGCCTCAGCCACCGTATTCACCGGACTTGACTCCCCGCGATTTTTCTCTGTTCTCAGAATTGAAAAAGCCTACGAAAGAAGAGAGTTAAAGTGGTAAAGGCCGCATCGTGGGAGCAGTTCGAGGCCACATCAAAATGCGCTGATCAGAAATGGTTCGACGATTGGAAAAAACCTTGGCATAAGTGCCACCTAAGGGGCATTACTTTGAAGAGGGCAATATAATTGTTTTTCCAGAAAAATAAAGTCACCTTTTTTTTTTGAACTCACGCACTCACTCATGTATATTGAGCTATAGATGTATATGTATGTAAGGAAACAAAAGGCGTATAACTGTGAATAATATACAATTTACAGCAAATAGAGAAAGGATTCCGTTAAAGCTGGTCTCAACGAAATAGATTCGAATGCGCCAGCTAACACGCCCACAAGGTACAAATGGCAAAAAATCACCACAAAATGAATTTAGATTTTCTACTTGTTGTCATTTTCATTTATTTAGGTTATGTTGTGTATGCACATAATAAGTTGAGTATTTTTTTGTTTCTTTATTTCTTGCCAACTTTTCACTTAGTGAAATACAATTTTTTTGCGGGACCACCCTAAGTTACGTATAATTATTTTATCTAGAAAAATTTATTTACATACACTTGTGTGCTTTTATAGTAATTGTGATGGATACCTTTTTCTTAAATTAAATATTGACTTTAATTTTTAAAAGTAACAACAACAACAACGCAAACAACGCGATCAACAAGTTGTTTGATGCTCTTTTAAGGGAGAATAACAACAATAAGAAAACATGAAGCACAGATAAAAAAGCAAAAAAAAGTCATACCAAGCGGATAGAAGACAATGAAAAAAACAAATCAGCTGAATAATGTAACAACAACAACAACAATAATGAATAAACGAGACATAAATTGATTTAAATTGATTTTACACATAAAAAAAGCATACAAAAGATACACACATACACACATACACACACACACACACACGCATACGTACGCACAATCATAAAATTCACCATAACGACGCTGCGAGAATAAAGAGAAAAGTCGTTTATGTGTTTGACGGTATCCGACGGTTATTTTGATAAACATAGACAAAAAAACCTAAATGAAAGAAAAAATTCAAACGTAAAGACAAAAACGCTCTTCATAGTTCGGAAGAAAAATTGCAAGTCTACTGTTGTTGTGATTCAAAAAAAAAAAGAAGAAAATAAAATGAAATATTGCTTGAAAGGACGGGAAGGACGCATTCTGCACAAAGGTTCTTAACCAAAAAAAAAAAAAAAAGAGATAAAAATGTCGAGAAAAAAAGAAAAATTAAAAACTTCGAGTAAGATTTTTCAAATATTTTTTTATCCTAAGGATGGATTCTGTTCTATCAACAGGAAAAGAAAAAAAATATTGCGAAAGGAAGTTTTAAAATAGTTTTCAATCCAAGTTGTGTTGAACATATAAAGTTTTTTTTTAAGTGTGAATTAAAGCTTTTTTGGTCCATTTATAGCATTCGATATCGCGTAAACTCGATCGTAATTTCCTTATGTTCCTCGATAGCAATTTTACGATCGAAAGGTCTTTCTTTCGATAGTAAGAAAAATGTGTACTTTTTATTCACAGCTGGAGACTACTGCGGATCGTTCTCAACAGCGATCGAGTTTGCTTGACATCGACAACTATAAGTCGACTAACTACTCGTCACAACGGATCGGTAATCAACAGCTGTCGAGTTTGCTTGATATCGGCAGCTATAAGCCCCAGCATATTCCACCCACTGCTGGAGATTAACTACTTGTGACAGCGGATCGGTAATCAACATCTGTCGAGTTTACTCGATATCTGACAGCTTTAAACTGGCCCCTTACCCGGATCTCCTACTCATTAAAAGAACCGATAAGTTTCTTTTCTTTTCAACACTCTACATTTGTGTTGATTGAAATTTTCTTTGCCCTACGTTAGCATCTTAATTTGTAACGATACCTCAAGCTTCATTCAAGTCTCTTTTCTCTATCGCGCTTTGCTGACCATAGATGAACGATATATTTAGTATTTTCAAGCTACTAGCTGCGATAGATTTGTTAATGGCTAGAAACATGAAATTTCGACAAGTAGTTCGATATGAAGGTAATAAAGTTTGAAATTTGGCATCGGTTTCTGGTCGTTGATGTCGAGTAAAGTCGATAGCTGCCGATTATGGCATTTTTATAAGCTTTTCTCTTACTATCTCGAATGAAAAAGTCTTTTGATCGTAAAGCTGGTCTTGAGTAACACATTCGAATTATAATCGAGTTTACTCGATTTGGAGAATCATATTTAATGATTATATATAAGATCCACAGTAAAGTGTACAAAGTATACAAAGTATATGTTAGATCTAGAGGAAAGGCTGTTGACTTCTTCATTTTGGGGAGAGAATAGAGAAAGAAGATCTTTTAGTAAACATATTTGGCATTAACAGGTCCATGTAATACGTACGGGGAATAGAGATTGTAAGCGAAAGTGAGGACGGAATTTTTTACCTATGTTCTAGGTGTAAAGCGATAAACTCATATTGTAAATGCATGCTTGTCAATGATTAACTTATTTTGAGCAGCCCTTCTGCTCGTCGTAAAGGCAATAAAAGAATTGTCGTTCCAAGATTTGGAAAGTGAAATTTTTGTAATAAACGTACAAATAAATTTCTTCTTATGGCAAAACTTAATATTGGTAATATGCACCATCACTATT